GGGAGAGAAGTATGTTGAACTCCCTTCGGGCAGGCTGATATCGCTGCGCTATCAGGTCCCATACTTGGGGGTCATTCTTTCTTATCACGACTATGAAATGAAGACTCTCAAACATCGGCTGTCATCCAGTAAGCTTGCAATGTCAGAAGTAGCCCATGCAGTTCGGAACCACCGAGTCTTATCAGACAGACGTCGTCTGTCGATTTGGACAATAACTGCGTGGGCCTCTGCTCTGTATGCACTCCACGTGGTGGGGATGACACAGCAGGGATTGCAAAAGCTCCATTCACACATGATGTACCAACTCAGATTCGTCCTGCGGAGTTACTCCCAGGAAACGAAGGAATCAAACCAGGAGTTACTCCGGAGATTACGGATTCCTCACGTGAAGGAGCAGCTGCAAAAGAGAATGACCCAGTTTATAAAGAGACAGCAACACTCCGATCCCCAGCTTCTCCCACACTATAAGTTGCGTGCTGAGGCAGTTAGCCAGGCATTGGAAGGCCTCTCCACGGACTTCTCCTCGCACCATGTGGAGGATAGGCTTCTGACCTGCGGTGAATGTGGTGCATGTCTCTCTGGCACCGGAGCACTCCGTCGCCACCTGCAGAAGGCTCACCCAGATTCTCAGCAGTGCCTGAAAGGACCCAAATTTGATCCTATTTTGCATTCAATGCCAGGGTCAGCAACTTGCATCGCCTGTCGAGCAACATTCCGAACAGTGTTTTATCTGCGCAAACATGTCGAAGCATCTACCTGCCCTAGGGTAGAGCTTTTGCTTAGACAGCAGGAAGAGCTACCCTTAGAAGCACAGAACCGGATCTCACTCGTAGAAAGTCTACAGTCTGATGCCCAGGACAATCCAGAAGGCGCCGCTCGAAATCCGGCGTTCCATGATTACCTGATGGAACACTGCGCACTCTGTGGTCAGGTCCTCGTAGGCCAGAAAGGAGCCAAACAGCATTTAAACAAGCAGCATCCTGAGGTGATGGCCAAGCTGGAGAAAACTCTCCAACCAAGACTCAATCAATTCAAGGTCTTCTTCCACAAAGGAGATAGCTGTCGATACTGCAAACTTCGTGTGGATGCCCCGGGTAGACATGCTCAGCAGTGCGTTCCATTACTGCAGGTGCACGTACTGCAGGAGGTAGCGCGCCAGCAGCTCAGCAAGCAGCCCCGCGAATATACTCGAGCAAAGTCCACGGCATCGGCGAAGACAGTCACAAAGAAGCCTTCAGATTCAACGCCAGGAATTCCTCACCCCGTGTTTAGACTGGAAGGCTTTCTCCTGCTAGCCAATACTCGCAACCACTGCTATGCCAACTCAGGTCTGCAGTGTCTCCACTGGCTATCAGATCCTTCAGAGGCGACTTTCCAAGAGGCATCCCGGATCAGTCAGCTTGCGAGAATAACCCCTGAACACAGAGTCTTCTCGGAGCTCACCATGGGCTGGCTCTTTGACGGAGGCCAGCACGACTCTGCTGAGTTCCTGCAGCAAGTGTTTCGGAATCTCTCTGCATCAAGATTTGGACAGTGGGAAACTAGAGCCTCAGTACCGGAAGGCGTGATAGTGGACGAAGAAGGGGGCTCTCCCATTCATCTTGCCACGGCGATCAAGACCAACTTACAGGACATGCTAGTGGCATGGTCGTCTCAGGAGCGCTCATGTGCTCTCATAGAAGCTGCACAGCAGGTGTGCTTAGCCTTGCCGAGATTCGCAGGTGAAGCTAAGGATCACACTCGCATCACAATCCCACAGCAAGTCCAGATCCCTGTCTTCCTGGACCACACATCCCGAGTTTCGTTCTGTACCTACACAGTAGAGGCAGTGATCATTCACCTAGGAATGGAGTCCACTAGTGGCCATTACCGTGCAGCTGTACGCACAGCAGATGCCTGGTATGTTGGTGATGACTCCCACCCCCCTAGTCCCTGTACCCTCGAAGATCCCCTGCTTCAAGAAAATAGCTACGTCATCTTCCTAGCTCGCAGCGCCGTCTCTCACGAGCCCCAGGACGTAGCCAATCTCCCGAGTAATGTCTCTGCAAGAGCTCTTCCAGCGAGCATCGATGGATGAGAGCTCTGCCCCTAAACGGGGAGACGCAGGTCCGTCAGGTGGAGATTCTCCCCTGAAGTGACAGCGTGGTGGAGGTACTCCCCAGCAACGAGGCAGAGGACAACAGCGAGGGGGCAAAAGCAGGGGACGAGGAAGCGGAGGCCGAGGGAATGGAGCAGCCAGAAACCAAAATGGGAACAGTGGCAACACTCAGCAGGGACAAGATCGTCTCATGGCAGCCTCTTCCTGAGCCAGACGCCTTGCGGAGATGCTCCCTTAGGAGGAGACTCTCCCCAACAATCGGAGGAGTTTCTTCCCTTGCCATGTGTGTACAGCTGGTGGAGTTTCTCCCCAGCAGCTGAGTGCAAAATGATCTGCTGCCAATCAGCCAGTGATACATTGCAACCAAGCCGGTTAGCGTTCAAGCTAGTGCCGAAATCATAACGCCGCATAAGACTCTGAAGACACATTCGCTTCCCACTTCACAGCTTGCAGCCCTGAGGGGCGGAGCGTGTGCAAGTGCAGCGCTGAGGCACGGCTTGCCGTGAAGAGTGACCGCGCAAGTAGTAAGCAGGGCACTAGGTCGATCCCTCGCAAAGCGTGGACGATAAGTTTCACCACAGACAGTCCTCCCCCGCTGCGTGTGAATGAAATGTTGTTGTCGTGGTTGTTGTTGTTGGTACAGACAAAAACAGCAGCCCGTACTTGTTGTTAATTAGAAGTAATTGCTTCCCGCGACCGCATGGGGTGCCTGTAGAGTTTTGGGAAGTGCAAGCCATGGTTTACACAGCAACTGCCCCATGATAGAAATGCGGTGTAGGCTGGGTGGTTGTTGTAAAGGAGGGGGTCAAAACAACAGACGGGGCTCCAGTTTTTGCTTCTACTACAGGGGGGTAGAGACAAAGGCACCAACGAAATCAGGACTTTGCCCCTACCGCCTGTAGTAGAGGCAAAATCTGGAGCCCCGTCTGTTGTTTTGACACCCCCCCTTTACAACAACCGCCCACATTACATATTTCCACCACAGGTATAGGAATCTGCGATATCCAGAAGGGGTTCTGAGGGGTGTTGGAAGGGCTGGTCTGGAATTTTGAGGGGTTTGCACTGGATACCCATACACTCAAAACTATAGCTGCCAGTTACTATACCGTAGTTTGTACAGGCCTCGCAAATGCATAATCTGCACAGCGGCGAACTGAAATACACACCAAATCCATTGAAAATACACATTAAAATCATTGAAATGCACACCAAATCCAGTGAAATACATACCAAATCCACTGAAATACACATTAAATCCATTGAAATACACACCAAATCCATTGAAATACACACCAAATCCATTGAAACATTGAAACACGCACGAAATCCATTGAATTTCACACGAAATCCACTGAAATACAGACGAAATCCATTGAAAACACGCACCAAACAGTATACATCACAGGCATCCGCAGGCACTGTGTTGTTGTTGTTGTCGTTGTTGTTGTTGGGTGGGGGTAAAACAACATGACGGGGCTCCTGTTTTTGTCCCTACCCCATGTGCAGACAAAAGTCAGATATATGGGTTGACGGGGCTGCAGTTTTTGTTTGTACCTTGTTCTTGTTCTTGTTCTTGTTCGTGTTCGTGTTCGTGTTCGTGTTCGTGTTCGTGTTCGTGTTCGTGTTCGTGTTGGTGTTGGTGTTAGTGTTGGTGTTGTTGTTGTTGTTGCTGTGGTGTTGTTGTTTTTACAATAGTAAGCAGTGGTAGCACTACTACTACTCGTATGGTAAAAATTAGAACAACAACAACTACTACTACCACTACAACGACGACGACGACGGCTACTCTTGTTTGAAAAACCCGAACATAATGTAACCAGGCCCTGGTTATACTATTTTGGGGGACGGAGGGCCTGTATTGCGGCATCATATAGCACAGTGAGATGACTGGCTTCGTCATAGGGACATACAACCCAGCTTTACTGAGCTGGGTTGTATTGCCTTATGGCTTTACTGGTCCAGGAGTGAGCGGCATGCCAAAGGACGACTCAGTAACATACTGAATGGAGCCAACCTGACACATTCTGCACAAGAAGTGCTGGGATGCTGAATAATTCAACGCCATTGTCTTCACCGAAGATTGCATTGAAATTGCCATAAATTGGTTGCCTGAGTTGCAAGCAAAGTGATACTATTTGACTGAAGCTTGCAGTTGCGTGACACAGTCGGTACCTAACGCCCTGCTTCGCGTACTCAGCCATGCGGGAGGCAAAAACTACGACGACGACTACGACTACGACTGGCACGACGACGACGACGACGACGACGACTACTACTACTACTACTAGTGCTGCTGCTGCTGCTGCTGCTGCTGCTGTTACTGCTACCACTACTATTACCACTGCGGCTGCTACTTCCATAATAAAACCCTAAGCCCCTAAACCTTAAACCCTACTATATACTACCGACGACGACGACCACGACAAGTAGTATTACCCCTGCACAACTATTCCTGTTGTTCCTGCTATCCACACGCCTATACTACCACAACATGCCACAACCACTCCGACTCGTCGTGGTCGTCGCCTCGTGATCGTCATCCTGGGTTTTAGTACGTTTTGGTTCATTTTGTTCAGTCGCCAGGACCTGTTCAATGCCCACTTCGAAGAAGTGAGCACAGCAGAACAGTTCAGAAAGGCTTCGGACCCCGTCATTCAACATTTGTTTTGCGTGCAATGCACTGCGAGTTTATTTGGAGGTCCGCACCTACATGTTTGACACGGGTGCTGATTTGGCCGCGGGCACATGACAACTACATGTAGTGGAACCTGTAACAGATTTGATAGCCAACAGGTTTTCGAAGATCTGCTACAAGCTGGTTTCCTGAGCGAGGATGGCATACTCACTGCAGGCCCGGGTCCGAGTCTCAGACTGACTTTTCTGACCACGTGGCCGGTCAGGTATGCAGCCGTACAACTTCATGGCCCGCATCGTCACGGGTGACCTAGTCCAGCAGCCTGGCTGAGTCCCGATTGGCCATGGCTTCTATGCGTGAGCGGCAGGGGCTTGCAATGTTTTCATTGAGGCGCAAATGTCAGTCGGAACAGGCATTCTTGGGCGAGTACGGAAGCTTCGCTCGAATTGCTAGTGGCATTTGGTGCAGGGTAACATGCGGAAGGTAGAAAGCATGGAGGCAAATTGTGCCGCAGAGAGTTCTTGTCAAGGAAGCCGATTCGTCATCGCGCACAACAAACCCGAGAGTGAAGACATGCCGCTCGCTACACGTTTTAGCTCACTTATGTCCGGTGTGCGTTGGTGCCAACCGACTGAGGTGGTCAAGCTCCGATCCGAGCTGGATCGGAAAGGCGAGCATGCAGCTTCGCCGCAAGCAGATCCTTTTACAATGGCGGAAGGCGCACAGACGTCTTGGGTAAAAGCTGCACAAGAACAAGGTCCAAAAACCACCGGTTTATGGCTTTCAAAGATCTGCGATGGGAATCCTGGCGCAAAGTCCAAGTTGAAGCATGCGTGAAGTCGCCTGAGCTTTGCCGAAGAGTTGCCCAGGAATTCTGCAACATACTTGCCGTCGGCATCGACAGCGGTTCGGCGCATGGCTTGGCGAAGCTGCAGGCACCTCACAAAACTTTCGATCAAGACTATGACTTCCAGTTAGCACAAGTAAAGCAGTTGTTGTGTGATCGGTGGGTGTCGAAAGTCGTCGTTTGTGTGGACCTCGGGCACCAGGATATGAAGAAAGCCGCGGTGCACTGGGTGCCTCTGCTTGGTTGGATCGATACGAAAGCTGTCTGTGATGATCCGCTCGCTGGCCATATTGACGTGGCAAACACTTGTCTGCATTGCAGGTTCAACATGCGCCTGGCTGGTCCCCACCGGAAAAAACGGCCTTCCTTCTCGCGGCGGCCTGCCTTGTATTCTCGATCCGACCGTCATGCCTGCCCGTGCTGCGAAACAGCCACAAAATTCTTCGTAGCACGTGCTGAGGTATGGCCTTTGACTGGCGTTCCCTGCTTGCCCCTAGACTACCGGCAATAGCTGCAATTTCAAACGGTGATTCTCTGATTCTCCTGCGCCAGCCCTTGCGAAGCGGCTTCCGAGGCACCTCCACATAGTTGACCTTTCCTGTTCAGGCCCATCCTTTGAGAGGCCTGCACTGGCCATGGGCATGCCGTGGCATTTGCGCGAGCTCGGGTTTTGTTCTGTTTCCGATGTAAATGTGTCTCAATGTGCCGTTGTTATTGCTGTCCCAACCTCTTGGTAAAAGGAATCTCGCCTGCAGGCTAAGCCGCAAGCTGCTCCCACTGGACGATGCTATCCGAGTACTGGAAGACGAAGTCAAAGGTGTGAGACCAAGCAAAGGCTACAAGAGGTGAAAGCATGCAGAGTGACAAAGAGCGTCAGCGCAGCCTTGGGCGGGGACAAGACGGGAAGGGATGAGGGAGGGGGAGGGTTGCTACAATGCCATGATTGATCGAACCCACACTCGCAGGCTGCGACGTTCCGGTTCTCAAGAGACTTAGCTACAAGTTTATGTGTGCAATGAGGTGTTAGCCCATCGGCTGCTGAAGGCATTTCGGTGTAGCTTCTTTGAGGTGATCAATCTTTTCTGGGCATGACTCGGTCCGCTCCTTGTGATTGGTTCCAGAAGCATGTGTGGAATTGGAATACTGCCTCCAGCTGTCAGGACGAAGCCGTGCTGGTGCCCGCACTGATCAATGAACACGCATGGACTGAACGCCATGTGATTGTGAGGATGCCCAAGAGGATCTTTTAGGTAGCCTTGCATACGGCACAATCTTGTCGGAAGCAATGTTCAAGCATTCAAGCCGCTCGAGCACAAGTGCCAGATCGAATCGATTTCGAGAGTCAGCACTCCATGTCCACCGGACAGTTGAAGGCTTCCTCACTTTAGCCCACCGATTCGCAGTCTCGTAGCTTTGTGATTGACGAAGAAGCAGCCTCAGCACCACAAACGTGCGTCTGGGTTGCTCACAGCATTCGAGCCTGTGCAATATGAAACATCTCATGGTGTGAGCTTGGTATAGAGCTCAGTTCTAAGCCTGTGCAGCCAAGATCGCTTCTGCGACTTTCGAGCACACGGGATGCTGTGCCACACTGGCCGCTTCTAGTAGACTTATATGGACAAAGCCTCGTGTGATCTGGTGAGAAGTTGACATCACATGTCAAGCTGCCAGCGGACCAATTCCAATCTGATGCGCTTTTCTGCCTTGCAGCTCACTGTGTTTGGCAACCCAAGCGAGGAGTTGCTGCACATCATTTGCTAACAGATCTGGACGTAGGTCCTGGGTCTTGGCGGTTAAAACAAGTCTCTGCTGAGAGGTCGCCTTGCATTCAGAGTTAGAGGATGTGTTGTGAAAGACTTCCTGGCTTCATGCCGACCTGCCGCATCAAGGCAGCAGATGCAGCAGCCTGTCAAAACATAATGCATGCAGACGAACTCAACCACAATCGGAGTGCGCCCCATTTCGCTGCCTACAGACGAGAAACTTTAGAGGAACTTTTCAAAAAGACGAAAGCTTTGCTTAGTGACACGGTGGAATACGTATTCTAGCACCACGGCCAAAGGCCAGGCAGAGAGGCGATTCTCAGCACGGATGTGCTTGCCACTAGCTTGTTGCAAACTTTCTGGGAGTACTCTCTGACTGCTTTGTCGCGTGTGCCGTCTCTGCCATGCCGAAGCAGGAGGCCGAAACGGTGTCCCGGTGCCACGGTGTTCTCACTCATGTACCAGCTTCAATCCATGGCCACATTATGCAAAGTCTATTTTTGGCCGCCAGTCACAACCTCGCATTCTTTCAGTGCGATCTGCGGCTCATGAATTCGCACTATCCCTGTGTCCGGACGTTTCAGTGATTTTCCGTGATCCATTGTCGCCGTCCTGGTGTCTCTGTGTGTTGATGTTCATGTGTTTGTGTCCCCCCGTCTTGACATCCTCGGGGTCCCGGTACCCCTGTCATGCCGTGTTTCAATCTCTTGTTTGTTGTTGACCTCGCTTGGCATTGGGCTCTAAATAAAGCCGTGTCAGCCACAAACTTCAGAGCAGTGCCAACACTTTCTCGATCTCCGGTCTTCAGTGGGCGGATGGGCCGTCTCCTTCGCGGACGGCGCCTGGAGCTACGACGACCTCGGCTCGGCGTGGCGGATGAGGAGCTTCGCGCCGATGGCGGGATTGCCGCGTCGGACGTGGGCAGCTCCGGCGGTCACGAGCCTACGGGCATCGAGACCCAGACTACTCCGGGTGGGTAGCGGGGTTAGATGTAACTTTTTTTGAGATGTAGCTTTTCTCTTCTTAGACGTAGCTTTTCCTACAGACTGCGAGAGGCAGTTGAAGATTTACGAACAACCTCCATGTAAAGAAGTGTAGCCTGACTATGTAACTTCTGAAGCCTTAAGTACGTCATCGACTTTTGGCTCAAGATGAAAAAGGCGCCGCTGAGCTGTGCCTTCACGTTCAGGGCAGGGTCCTTCTTTTGGGATTTCCCTTCCCTTCCTCTCCTTTCTTACCCTGACATAGCGTTGTATCTGTTTGGGGTCAGAATAACTGGTTATCAGCCGTAAGCTCTCTTGGGTGGTTTGTTTCAGGGTCTAGGATTGTAGATCCATGGACGACAATCCGCCTCGTGAGGAAGAGCGTCTTCCAAGGCCTCAGGGTGTGAGGGGTACTCGGGCAGGTGCAGCAGCCCAGAGGAAGCGGAAAGCATATCAGCAATATATCTTTCTGCGCGATCAGGATCTGGGCATTTATGCTGATCCGTCCGAGATTCCCTTCCGTCGCCCTGACGGCTCTACTCGAGCTGTGGTGCGACGTCCGGAGACGGCTCCTTTTCAGGCTGTGGAAGAGCAATCAGAAGTGATCGTGATTGACGAGCAGGAATCGGAGGAAGGTCTTGAGCTGGTACCGGAAACTCCGCCTCCTTCTACGTCTTCGGGTCCATTTCATCGACTTTATCCTTCAACTCCTATTTTGAAGGCGAAGACAGCTGCTCCATCACTTCCACCCGCTCCTTCGTCATCGAGCTCTTCAATTCCGAAGCTTTCACCGACTCCAAAACCTTCGTTGACTCCTTCAGCTTCACTACCATCAGGCATTCCGGCTCCAAAGACTCCGCCGAAGGCTCCGCCTCGTGGAGCTAAAGAGCCTGTGCGAGCTCCGCCATCGTCTACTCCATCTTCGTCAAGTGTGCCAAGGACTCCGCCGAAGGCTCCGCCTCGTGCGCCTAAAGAACCTTCGAAACCGCCTCCGAAGGCTCCGCCGCGTGTGCCGAAGGAACCTTCGCATCCTCCGCCATCTCAGGTGACAGAAGCTCCTCGCGTTATCGACTTCCGTTCCCTTCAGACAGAGGTGCTGGACTTTGAGGGCGTTAAGGTGAAGCTTACTGAGCCGGCATTTGAGAAATTCTCTTTCGCCTTGAGCTTGGATTTTCACGGAGTGTTGGATCGCTATCACAACAAGTCGACGAGCTGGACGGATCCAAGGCCTGAGTTTCCTTCGGAGTGTTTGACCGCCTTGCGCGATCTTCATTCGTTGGTTCGGCGCTACGGGGGTTTATTCTTCGTTTGCAGTTATTGTCACCACGAGGATACCAAGAAGCACGTGGTTGAGACAACAGTGAACTCGTGTGATACCTTGTTCACTCAGATCGGGGAAACGCCTCTTTGCCTTATCTTCATTACGAGGAAGGCCACGGGCCCGTTGGGGAAACGATCAGTGCTAGAGAAACTCTCAAAGGAGATTGGTTTCCCCATTATTCACGTCGACGACTCCGCAGACGTCTGCGACGAACTGGCGGGTTCCCAGCACGTGGTTCCTCTGCATATTGCTATTCCGAAGAGATCCAGAGGAGGTCGTGGGCAGCGCACTATTTTCCCGAGTGCTCCCGTGCCTTCCTTTGACAGCTTTCCGGAGTGTGCTGGAGCTATCAGGGGCCAAGTGCAGAAGTGGTTCCCAGACGCCTAAAGGTCTGGAAGTGTTTGTCCAGTTGTTCGGCGCTGAGCGCCTCCTCTGGCGATTCCTGTGGCAGTACGGTTCTGGTTTGTATTCGGGACATTGTGCTCAGCTACTGGGTAAATTCCGTTATAGTTAGTCCAGGGTAGTCTGAAAGGCAGCTTCGCGCCACGGACTCGGGTTTCAGTCTCTTGGTCTGGGTAAGCTTGGCTGCTTTAGCGCCACTACCCGCACTGTGAGCGTGCGCATTGTGCCTCGCACCTTGCGCAAAAGGGCCTTTCATTTCGCCTCCCGTCTGGATCATGTCACAATCTCAATCAACCCCAACTGATCCAAGCTCCTTGCTTGACATCTCCAGTGCCTCCGCAGCTGCGGTTCCGGGTATGAGGGATTCCTCTTGTGCCTCAGGGGGTTCAGAGAGTAGTTTAGCCTTAGTTGAACGTGAACGCTCTCCTCCCGCCAATCGAAGAGCTTTAGCCCGAACTCCTAGGAAGGCTTCAGCTCCTTATCCAGCTGTCAATGCCCCTCTAGACGAGTCTGGTATTCCTACTGTTGTTCATAACCAGATGCTCAACATAGGAGCCACGCCTCAGCAAGTCCTTGCTGCTCAGCAATTTGCTGCTGGTGAAGCTGCCAATCGAGTCGCCGCTCAGGCGGAGCTGCTACACCAGGCTTTTATCAGTGAGGTACAAGGCCAAGTCAGGGACGTGTTGACCGAAGCAGGGTCTGCTGTTGATCAGCTTCGGGAACAGCTTAGGCTTTCGGAGATTCGATGTGGGGAATTGTTTGAGTACGGTCAATACGTTGAACGTCAGCTCGCAGAGGCAAAGGCGGTGTTGAATATGTTGAATTTTCAGCTAAATCAAGTCCGGGTAGAGTGCCAGATCAAGGAGAGAGAGATTCAGAGGCTTCGGTCGGCTGCTCCATGCGCCTCGACCTCCGGATCTCCTCCTAAGCCACCGAAACCCCATGCTCCGCTAGGCGGTTCCGGGTCTGGTGCTAGTGAAGCGTCATGGACTCACCTTGAAGCTTCCGATCCTCCCGCTCAGCATCTGCTGTACTCGGGTACCTTTGTTCCTCCGCCCGCACCTTCATGTCCTGTTCCTCCTCAACCCACGTCTCCTGTTTCAGACCCTCGCGTGGACCAGCTGATTGAGGTAGTCCAACAGTTAGTCCAACAGGTCGGTCAAAATGCTACGGGTACTGTTGAGACCAATGAAGATGACGAAGTTGAGGATCAAGAAGCTGCCAAAGAGCTTCGGGAAAAGGACATTGTTGATCAAAGGGCTCTCTTACATCTCAAGCTTGAACCTGTCCCTTCAGATGCGGCAAGCTTCAGAACTTGGAAGAATGGTTTCAAGGTTCAGTTGTCCAAGCTTGATACTTCAGGTCAAGGTCTTGTGTTGGCTTGGATTTCCAGAGGCTTTGATGCTGAGAGAGCTGACTTGCAAGATTCGGAGCTTCTTCCTCGTCTCGATGCATGGATAGCTGGTGAGCTGTCATCAGGGCGTGTGTTGAAGCAGTCCTCTGAACTTGAGCAAGATATCACTGCTTACATTGAAAGGTGTAGTCAACTTGGCCAATCGCCCAAAGGTCGAGTGATGTTGTCTATCATCGCAAGACATTACGACCTCGATCGGGTAAGAGGTTCTGTTCTGACTGCATCAACCTTGTTTCAGATCGAACTTGGTGGAAGTTCCATAAAGGACTTGAGAGACTTTGTGAATCGTATTCGCCTCGTCCTCAGTGCAATTACGGTCGGGCAACGACCTGATGATCGCCTCACCGGTGAATGGCTCTTCCATCGAGTGAAACACATTCGCAAGCTTGAGCGCGTTATTGAGGACATCAGGGAATCTGGGGCATCTTCGTATAGGCGTGAGTGGTCTTACTTGTTGGATAAGATTCAGGATCTGATCGTGCAGGGCCGTGAGGACTCCAACGCGCAGTCTGTGCTGAAGTCTCTGCAATCTGCCACACCCGCTCCGAAAACGAAGGCTGTTCCTGCTGTAGATGGAGGGAATGGTAAGCTTAAAGCTTCCCCACCTGCTGCACCTCCGAAAGGTGCTCCGCCCAAGGCAGATCCTCCTCCTCCACCGATTGCTCCTGGCGCCCCAGCGCCCAATGCAAACGCGAAAGCCAAATCAAAGGCTAAGGCTAAGGCGAAAGCCATGACTGATGCTGAGAAAGCCAAGACGCCTTGCATTTTCTTCCAGATGCCGTCCGGTTGCATTCATGGAGATAATTGTAAGTTTAGTCACAAGGCTGCTCCGCCGAAGTCGAAAGCCAAAGCCAAAGATGGAGCCAAGAGCAAACCTGGAGCAGTAGCCAAAGCTGTCGTCGCGCTTGTTGCTGCTTCTAGCTTGTGTACTCCTGTTATATCTGCTGGTCCATCCTATGCTGTTGAATGGGCCGCTGACACTGCTGCTGGTCGTCACTTAGGTTCGGCCAAAGCCTTGTTTGACCAAGGGATTCCGCGTGACGCCTATGATCGGTTCTTAGGTGCGACTAAGTCTCCCGTGACGTTTCATACCGGCGGTGGTCCCCAACCTGGTGTGCAGACCCTCGGCTTCGAGTCTGACAACATGGATTTTGCAAATCATTACATGTTAGACAGTTGCCCTTTGGTCAGAAGCACAGGGATTGATGTTGATTCTGGGAAGGCCTTCATCTGGCCGCCCGGTAGTTTGCCTTTCTTCGTCAGTGACGTTTCGCAACTCGTTGTTCAATGTCCTGAGAAGTACAGACATTATGCAACTCGCGTTGAAGAGCATGTTCCAATTTTTACCAGTCAGGTGAGGTTTACTCATGGGGCACCAAACCCTGTAAGTGACCTTTCAGGGGGGCTCGAGAGCGAGGGTCCGGCTGCTATCCCAACCGCCATCCAAAGCTCAGAGCGCCATCCTGCTGAATTACGAGCCCGGCAAATGTTGAGCTCTGGCGGCAACATCAGCTGTCGTGCGGTTCGCAATTTGTTCGGTTTGGTTGACAAGGAACCTGCTGCTAGAGGTGATCATGGGGAATCGTTCTCAACTGGACTTTATCGGTTGGGCGGGAATCTTGGACTTAGGACTTCCGCCCACCGGTTTCCTTTGGTTACCAAAGCTCTCAACAAGTTTGCATGTTCGAAGCTTCCCGGCTTCGGATATACGACCCTTTGCATTTTCAGCAACGTTACGACGGGTCCCCACAAAGACTTCCACAATGCCAACCTTGATAATGCCGTCATCTCCTTAGGTGGGTTCTCAGGAGGAGGTGTATGGGTTGAAGAATCAGGGGGGACAACTCCGTGTCCTGGTGATCCTGACAAGCTTGGAAAGGTTCTTAATTTCAAGAACGGGGTCATTCGGTTCCGAGCTAAGAGCTGCATCCATGCCACGATGCCGTGGAAAGGGGATCGCGTTGTGGTTGTCTTGTTCTCTGCAAAGCATCCTTCTGAAGTCAAAGATTCGCACTGTGAAGAGCTCCGTGCCCTGGGTTTTCCAATCGACTCTTGTGAAGAGCCCCTGCCAGCATATGCTGCTGAGGCTCCCGAGGGTTCGGCTGCTGATGCGCCACCCGAAGGACCTGGCGCTGATGCATCTGCGGAAGGCGTAGGTGAAATTGAACAGGATGATGGAGCAGAGGATAAGGTTCCCGAAAGGATTCGGAAGCTCAGAGATCAGGCCATGTCGCTTGAGCACAGGTTGTTTCACTTCCCGAAGAATCCTTTCTGTGACATATGTAATCAAGCTCGCATGCTTTCAAGGCGCGTGCGCAGAAAGCCTCGTGATGCCGAGGAAGAACCTGATCCGTTCGAAGCTTTAGAGTTTGGAGAAGTCATTGCCGCTGATCACATTCACGTGTTTAGATCGCCAGACGACTCCGATGCTCCGGACAAGTCCTATGTTGTGTTGTGCTTGAGGGACAAGTACACTGGTCTGTTTGCAGCTTATCCTGGGAATGATCGTTCGACCAATGCTGTTGTGACTGCCCTGAGAAAGTTTGTTGGACGTAGAGCTTGCTCAAAGCCTGTGACCTTAGTGTCTGATGCAGCTGATGAATTCGAAGCCGCAGCAGAAGAAATGGGATGGATCTCTTCGCCATCCTTGCCTAATCGCTTTCCCCACAACGCTCAACTTGAGCGGGAGATTAGGACTTTCCAAGAAGGTGTGAGATCATCGTTCCTTGAAGCTGGGTTTTCGATCCGTCCCGAGTTGTGGCCCGTTGCTTGTCGTTACGGTGCCATCGCCCTGAATCTGACGTTGCCTTCACCGCAAGATGAGTCGCTCTGTAGGTGGAATTTCAACATCGAGGACTCAGGCAGGGATGATGTTCACATCAGAAAGCTGATCCTTGGCCAGCTTGTGTTTTACCGACATAAGCATGAAAGCAAGTTTGGTCCAAACGCAGCTCCGGGCGTGTTCGCAGGGTGGAGGTTAGAACCAGGTGGCATCTATCGTTCAGTGACCCTTGTGCTTGACTTAGAAAAGCTTCGTTCCAAGATTGGTGCTTGGACTGAGCCGATCAGCGTTCCAGAGGCTGAGCTTTATGTTCGGTCCGGTGACCCTGTGTTTCCCCTTCGCAACGCCGCAGAGCACGCATTGCTGACATTTGCTGATGAAGGCGAGGTGCCTGCTCAAGAACCTCTTCCGATTCCTTTCACGCCGCATGTGTTCACAGAACAGGGTGAAAGGAAGAAGCTTCGTAGGATTTACATCACGTATGCTAGGTTTCGTAAGATAGGTCCCACACCGGGGTGCTATGCTTGCGACAACGACAAAAGCAATCACAATGCTGAGTGTATTGCGAGGTTTGAGAAGGCGTTCGGTAGAGAAGCTAAAGCTCCCGAGACCCCAGTTCCCAAAGAGTTCTTGTCTTACGAGGAGCTCCAGCTACCTAGGCCTCCTGCCCGTCCCGACGGAGATCATCTCTCCGATTATGAACCGTCTGAGGCTGGTCTCGAAGATCCTCTCGCATTGCCTGCCATGTATCGACACCAGAAGCCAGGAGCTCTTGTGTTGTTCGAAATC